CTGAAAAACACGATTATCATATGAGCGCAAAACAACAGTTAGAAATGCTTAATCAATTAATACAAGATCGTGAACGACAACTTGATGAAGCTATTCGTGATCGAACAGCATTTAAACAAAAAATTGAATTTTATAAAGAACGAGTTGATCGTTATTCAAGACAAAAAACAAATAATTATCAGTGTCGATCAGTAAGTGTTCAAGAACTTTGTTCACCATCCAAATCAACGAATTCATCTATTCTTAAATCAACCAATCGTTGGTCATGTCAAGACTTAAAATATGAAAGCAATGAACAAAAATGTCCATTAACACCACGTTTACCACCAAGTAATTGTGAATCAACTTCTCCACAACGTCAAAAATGTTCATCAGCTATTCGAGTTGATGAATTACGGGTATTATATATCTTAATTAAATAATTTCATTTGTCTTGTTTACTTATAGAATGAAGGTACATTAACAAGATTTTCTGATTTCAATATTGAACAAGGTTTTAAAAATTTATAATCAAAACTAAAATTTATTTTTCTCTCTCTTTATTTAGATTGTGAAGAATTATATAGATTATTAAATGATTCTAATGTAGATGAAATAGCTGTTATTCAAATACTCTGTAATAGGAGTGTTGATCAACGTTTGGCTATTCGGGATAAATATAAACATCTTTTTAATCAAGTATGTTTAAAATATTAAGAGATATTTTTCTTTCAAGTATTTTGGTTTTAGAATCTTAATCATGGCCTTGAAAAGATACAAGATTATACTTTAAGTAAACTTTTAAGAGTATTGTTATTATCACCTGTTGAACGTGATTGTTTGGAAATAAGAAGAATATTAAAGAGACCGACTATAGATGAACATGTTCTTGCAGAAATATTCTTTAGTCGTTCAAATAAACATATTCAAACAGTACGAGATCGTTATAAAACATGTAAATGACAATATCGTTTTTCTAAACTCATTGAATCCTAAAATACATATATGTTCTAGTATACAAAAATTCCATTGAACAAGATATTATTGGTGATCGAGCTAGTTTTTCAAAAAAAATATTTCTTGCATTATTAAAATCTAATCGTCCAGAATATAATGTTATTGATGATGATGAACTATTAAGAGATGCTCGAGAATTATATGAAGGAGCAACGCAATGGAAAACAGATGCATCAATATTTGTTCGACTTCTATGTACTCGCAGGTTTATTTTTGTGTTAGACTTTAACTTAATTTTTAGATTTTTTTATTTTTATTAAAGTAATGCACAATTGAAGCAAATATTTACAAATTATCTACAATTTGGTAAAACTAATATTGAACAAGCTGTACAAGTTTATACTGATGGTGATTTGTACCGTACTCTGATAGCTATTGGTATTTAAAATAAAAGTTTTATTTCATTTATTAAAATTTTGATTTGTTTCAAGTTCAAATTATTCGAAATCGACCACGCTATTTTGCTTATGGATTGACGAAAAGTCTTGAAGTAAAATACTTACAATTTTTATTTATCTTGTCATTTTTTTTTGTGAAACACGATCTACAAGGAGTGTTAAAGTGTAGATGTAAAAATTCGAGTTCCCCCACACAGAACGCGATAAACATCATGACAATCCATCAGAGACTGCGACAGTCGCTGGCTAGAGACCATCACAGGTTGTAGTAGAGATTATTAATATTTGAGCAAAGGCCGTATATCAATGATATTTTATTGTAAACTATAGAGTACTGTTGTATAGCATTTCTCGAAAATTAAGTAAAAGGACGATGAAGAAATGTTTTCGAAAGTAGATGGAATAAAGCAATATTTCTGTGTCTAGCAACAGCAACTATATCGTGTTTCACATTGAATTCCACAAAGATTGCTCTAACAGCTTTTTCTCTAGGATGTAACAAGAAATGATGATAATGTGAATCGTATAATCGTTACACGTTGTGAGATTGATATGGTTCAAATAAAAGATGAATTTGAAAACATCACAAAAAATTCACTTTATGATGCTATTCAAGTTTGTTTATTAATATGTCAAATATATAGTTTCTATAAATTCGTTTTTCTAGGCGAGCACAAGTGGGAATTATAGACGAGCACTTTTAGAAATGTTACGCCATCGTATTGAAATAAATAATACAAAATCAAAATTAGAATCTGTGAATCAACAAGCAGCAATGATGAACAATGGAAATCTAAAAAGAGCATCGGTACAATGGAAAGAACCAATTGACGACAATAGTTCAGATGTATTCGTTAAATCTACATTAGAACGTAGTGGTAGTAATTATTCAATGAATGGAAGAAGACATTGTAATTTTGATCCATCATCGACTAACTATTTCCATCGTCCATTTGATTATAATAATCAATCTAAAAGAAATAGTTTATCGGCAATGAATGTAACACCATCGAAATCATCATATGTTAATCGATGTTCATTTACACCAATGCCAACAACTGTTGAAAATCATTCACAATCAAATGATAATTTAGACTAAGAAAATTTTGAAAAACTATTTTTAATGTTTGTATTTTTTCGAATCTACAAATGATTTTTACCGAATAACAGTTGATCGTGATTATTAGAAAGTAATGAATGATTTAATTAGAATATTTCTCATTCAATTTATGATAGTGAATGGATTTTTTTCTTGTATGAATTGAATTTTAATAGATTGGTTAAATTGCAACAGATATAATCTTAATTGGTTTTGTCCAAGGTGAATCTGATTGAAATTTTATCAAATGAACTACGAAGATTGACTGGTTTTGCTTTGTCGATTTACCGGTTCAGTCATAGAATTCAACCGATGAAAAATCGTTCGATTTATACATCTATTAACCAGTCAGTTCTTGTGAAAGAAACTTTGTTCAATAAAGATATATGCTATACAACTCATAAAACTGTTAAGTTTTCTAGCAGTACCAACGTTGATTATAGCCTATGACGGACAATATATGTTAATACAAATAACAGAGAAAAAACTTTTTCAAAATTTTCCACCTAGTAACTCACAAAAGCGAATATTGAACAAACTCTATGCTGTGTTTTACCTTGCTTTCATCAATAAAAATATGATTTCTTAACAAAAAAATCAATAGATTTTATGTTTTCGTATTTTAAATCATTGCGTAACACAAGTAAACGACTTCTCAATTCATATAGGACTACTACTGCAGATAAGAAAAAAAGAGTGACAAAGCTCAAATTTTATATGAGACATTATATTTTCAGGATTTTTCATATCTAGATATTTTCACAATTGTATGAAACTAGCAGTTTACAAAATATTTATAATAAAAAAAATAGATATCTTTAGTATTTTGTAATAAAAATTATATACCATAGAATTTTCGACACTCCGTTACAAGCGGTCTAGAAAGCTGACCCTGAAAAATTGAGTTGAAAGACATAATTAATTCGTCAGGAATTATCATATAGAAACTATCGAATTCATAATTTTTAATTATTAAAACTGTAAAAACCGATAAAAATGAGTAAAATAGAGTAGTTTCAATGCTGTTAAAGATGGACACAAAATATTTGTGAAAAACGGTCGGTTGTAAAAGCTCGACTAGATTAGTTCAGCTTCAAGTCTGTATGTTTTATAGTCAACTGAAAAACTAATTTAACTAAATCTTTCCTAGCTTGCAAATGTTTCATCGTCCTTCATTGAATTATTTCGGTCGATAGTATTCTAATTACTATTAAAAACTCCCATGACTGATGAAAAACTTTTTTCAATTGTTGCCTTCCAGTTTCAATGGTTCTTCTATCTATAGATACTAGATATTTCGCTAATAAAAATCCTAAAATGATTTGAATTTCTAGTGGGATTTGACTAAGCTATCGATTTTTTATCCGCAACTTTGTGCATACAGAAAATTCAACTAGATTAGTTTCCATGACAAATTTACAAGTTTTGAATAAGATCTCTTCCAGAAATGAAGCTTTCAAAAATTGTATTTTGTATCAACAATCTACGAAGAAGAGTATGTATGTCGAAAATATCATATCCCTAAGAGATTTCATTAATACGAGCTTTTCGAAAACCTGGCATTTCTCGAAAATAGACATATTAAAAATTCGATGGCTTAGTCAAATCTCAATAGGAACTGAACTCGTTTTAGGATTTTTACAAGAATAATATGCGATATATACTAGTACAAATCATTGAAACTGAAAGGAAGCGACTGAAGAGGTTCCATCATGAATGGCTACGTTGTTTAAAACGTACCCGCAAGGCACTGTGTTTTAACCTTGATGTCAGCAACCATGAAATAACTCTAGACAACTCACTAACGGCTGTTTTTTCTCGGGTCATCCATCAGATAGTAAGCTGATTTGTATTGTAATATAAACCTGCTCTTGTGACTGGTTAGTGAGTATGAGGACTTCAAGCTATTTACCACAAGAACTTTGCGTTAAGTCGACCTTCTGCTCAGAGTTACAACTATTATTAGCTGTTGTAGGGGAGATACCTGGCTATTTAGTCTGCTACTAGGCAACACTTCATACCACAAAGTAGTCGAAAGGCAGTTACATTCTTTTTTTTTTAATTACTATTAAGTATGGAATAGAACAGACAGATACTGTCCTAAATGTAGCCAAATTTGATATTTTCAGTAAAAAAACAAACGAACCAAATCATTGTTGATGTTTATCTTGTTTATTTCCGACGTAACTAACATAGATCAATAATTATTATTGGAAGGACCGTGTCATTTAATCATCAAACATATGAAACGTTCTGTACTATATTTAATTGTTAATTATACATTATATTCTGTTTGGTTTGGTTTTTAATTGAAAGTAGAATGCCTCTTAATCATTATACTTATTCTATTTATTATGTTTTAACACAAAAAAATATAAATATAATACACACAGACAAACTTTGGGCAGAAATATTTTTCATTAATGAATGAAACTCACTATTGCTTGACAAAAAAAAGCAGAGAATATAATATCTCAAAAAACTTTTTTGTTTTTGACTGTTGTTGATTATTTTGTATCGCAAAGAAGAGCAACACCACGTAAACACCTAAAAAATGAAATCATTTTTTTTTAAATTTGACTTCTCAAGAAAAAATAAATAATTCTTTACCAAAAATCTGGATTGTTATTATTGATTTTTAATGATAATGAAAATATATAAGTTAAATCAGTACGTCGTGGTTTCTTATATACTGGACAAACATAATAAGCATTACCCAATGGTTTTGGTTCATTTGTAGCATAAACCTACAAGAAAAAAAAAACAAAGTTATTTATTTTGTTCTTCAGAATAAAATATCAAAAAATGAATAACTGACGTGTACAACAGGTAGATCCGAATAAAGTTGTTTTGGAGGTGGATCAGATAAATGTCCACCTTTTTCACGTGACAAACGCCATGCAGCACCATCAATTTTCAATCCATAGATGTAAACACCTTCAGCTGGTGGTTGTGTTACTTCTTCTTTGGTTAGCATTTTTAAAACATCATTAGCAAGAACGACATTATCTAATGACCAACCTTTATGATTACGTGTTATTTCTTGACGCATAGCAGTTAGAAAACCCTAAATAAATTTTCTTAGTAAATAATAATAGATTTTAAAAAAATACTTACTTGTGGATTAAAAAATCCAGTAAGCCAAAAAACATTTGGTCGTCCACTAAATAACCATGTAAAAAATTGTTGATTTCGATCTAATAAATCACTAAACCAAAAACCTAACGTTGCAGAATCCCATGATACTTTTCTCCATGTTGCTGGTACACGTGCATCAAATATATTATCAAGTGCATCTTTTAAATTTTCATTCATTATAATTGTACCATCAATAGCTAATTTTAAATCTTTTAATGTACTACGTACAACTGTTAGAACACGTTGCATACGATCAACTTCTTGTTTTAAAAATATACTCAATGGTTGTAATGTACCTTGTTTTTGTAAAGCAGCACGAACTTCATGTGGAATATAATCTTCAGGTAATTTACTTAACATATCATCACATTGTCGATAAACAACTGATTCACGTGTTTCACCACCACCAGCACCAGCATCTTTTGGTTGAATATTAACAATTGTAGCTAAAATTGAATCAGCTGTGTTTGTTTGATATGTTATATCAGCATTTGGATGAAGACCAAAAACATTTGGACTATCAAATAAACTCATTGTTTCAACATGTGTACGAAAGTCTTGAATGGTTTTACAACGTGGAATTTTATAATTAGGTGCAAAATCAAATTTATCAGTAAACATATTATCAAGAAACCATACACGTGTATATGTATTTAATAATCGTTTATCAAAATCATCAGTTACACGACCACCATAATGAACTAAAAAAAAACAAAACAACAATAATAAATAAAGAAAACAAAATGAAGCTATTAGCACAATCCATGTAGAATTATAATGTGAAAGACAATATTGCTAATCACAAGGAAATTGTTTTACTGTATCTAGTTTCAGATACATTTCTTCATCATTCTTTTACTTAATCTTCTAGAAATGCAATAATGAAGTATTTTAACGAGACATTATTGATGTGTACAGGCAGTGATTGTATATCAATAATGTCGGTGATGCAAAGGAGGCGTATTGCTAATGAATCTCTTTCGATCGGTGATTTGTCATTGTTAACGAAAAAACTTCTTCAATACAGTCCATCGGGTTCAAGGCTTTCTGGACCTGAACCCGTTCGAGCTTGAGCTCAGGTGGGACCCGACAGGCTCTACTCTCTTCGGTTGTCAAGTTTCTTTTCGACCAAATCGATGTTCATTTGATGAGTAAAATAAAAGTCTCGAATGATTTGGTCTTACAAACTTTCGTTCTCGAAATAGCTTTTTCAATCAAAAGCTGTAGTCCCCCTAAGGTCACGTAGAAAATACAACTTGCGAGTGTCTTCTATTACTCATCAAATAAGTGTAGTTTCGATCGAAAATCGATTTGATATCTGAAGACGTTTCCTTGTAAGATGTCTGTCATAGTCTGTAGAGAAGGACGTGCGAAGTTTCTACCATAGATACGTCAATATTTGTTTTAGATCTTGTTTCATAAAAAATTTATTATTAAAAATTATATTTACCTTCACCAATCATATATCGAACAGTTGGCCATGAAACATTCCATTTAGAACCCATTTCATCCATATGATTTTGAATAAATTGAATTGTAGCTGAAAAATCTGATTGATTAAATTCATATGGAATATTCCCTATTATGAAAAACAAATTAATTATATTAAAAACAATATTAGAAATACTATCGAATTTTAAACATACATCCAAGTGGACCAAATTTACGACGTTCTTGAACAGTTGTATGAAGAAAAGCAACAGCGTATAATATGATTTTCCATTCAACAAAATTACTAGCATCCACTACTTCCTAAAAAAAGATGGATTCAATTGTTTTGTTTTTTGAATTAAAATTCTACAAAAATAAATATATTATTGACCTGTGTCAGACCAGCAAATGTACGTTTTAAACCAGCTTTAACACCTTGTGGTGGTTCAAATGTATATTTAATTGATGATTGTAATACATTAATAGAAAATTGTGGATGTGGTTCAGTTGTTAACCAACAACGAAATGCCTCATGTACTTGTTCAGTTTGTATTACTGTTTCTAACATTTCTTCAAGAAAACCTAAACCTAAATGGCAATTTTGCAATAATATCCATCGACCTTCTTGTTGACTTTGTTGAAGTAAACGTCGAGCATGTACTTCTTGTCCTTGACCCATTGATATCGTACCACAAAGAATATTTTGTTTCTTAGCTAAACTTAAAATATTATCTGTTGGATCAGAACCCATTGATAGAAAGCAAACAAGTGGTGTTCGTTTATCAGATTCTTGCCACATAGCTTCTAAATTTAAAATATAACCTTCAGCATATTGAGTACCTAAAGATTCTCCAATATATTTCTTAGCCATAGGTAATGTACGATCAGGTGCAAATGAACGAACTAATAATAATTTTTTAAATGTATCTAAACTAGTTGAATATGATTCAGGAAATGTAACTTCTTCTGGTGCATCAGATAGAAACCAATTATACCATACTTTATCGTTACTAACAACTTGTCTTAATACTTGTGAAAAATGTGCTAATTTTGAAAGTTCAACTAAATTTAACCATGTCATATCACTTAACCATTTTTTCATTTTATCAGGTCGTGGTTCAACTGCATTCATATCTAAAGCAGCACCACCTTTAATTAATACTTGAAATTCGGATGGTTTTACATTTCCTTTTTGCATATCAATTTTAAGTGCTAATAAAAGTGTATAAAGATTTTTATCACGTTCATATAAACCACGTGATGAATATTTCCACACTTCATAAGTTAAAGATTCAATGATATTTTGAATACGTTTAACTGTTATTGGTGATACTTGTGCTTTTTGTCTAAATAAAAATGAATTTATTTTTAATTGTTCTAGAAAACTAAAATTAAATATTATAATTACCGGCCAATTTCAAATAGACCTAAGAATTGTTTTAATGATGTTTGATACATAACATTAACCATTGACATTTCAACAATAAGAAAATAAACAATAGAACCACGTGTTGCTACAGGACGAAATTCTTCACGAGCTGCATTAATTTTAATTTCAGTTTCAGCAGCAATTGTTAATTTTTCATTGACTTCTTTTGATGTTGCTTTTGTATCAGCTAAAACTTGAATAAGTGATTCATCTTCAACTAACGATCCTATAATACAAAAACGAAAATTTATTATTAACAAATATGAAAATAAAAAAAAAAAAAAAGATTTGTCTTAAACCTTCAGTTGATGTTAAACGAAAGAGTAAATTATCTTCTAATTCTTTCGTACGACGTTTATTCGATGTAACTTCTTCTAGTAAACGTACACGTTCAGCTTCAAGTTCCTAAATAAAAAAGAAATATTAAAATTCATATAATCGATTTTTTTATCTAATATTAATTCTTACCGCTTTTTCTTTTTGAATAACAATACCTAATAATTGATCTTCTAATCCTTTCATAGTGACAGTAAAATCAATAATCGATGTTTTAGCATATATTTCAGGTGTATAAGATGGATTAGCTAATTTTGTTGTTATATATAATTTAAACCCTGTTAAAACATCACATTCTTTATCTCCAACTTTAACCTTAAGTGTTGAACCAGATTTAATAAAATTTTTTTCTAAAACATTATCTAATGCTGGATCAAGTTCATCACCAACATCTTCAATCATTAATGGTCTACCAAGTGATAATGCATCTTCTAAATGTGTTCGAAAATATTTATGATTAAGCGTTGTAATTTGTAAATCATTCGTTGATTCTTTTTGTCGAATCCATGCTTTGCCTTGACCTTGTGGATCAATTAAAAGTGGAAAACGAGCTGCTGATGTAACAATTAAACCATTTTGAATAGATAATTCATCATTTGGAAGACCTTGCAGATTCCATTCACTAATTGTTGCATTATCAACAAGAAATGAAACAATATTCAAATCCTAAATTAAAAAAAAAAAATTTGGTTTATCATTTACATTTGAGAATTATGAAATTATTTACATCAGAAAATGGAACTTTACGTTTAGTCATATCTGAACGCCATTGTTTTATAAGCAATGTACGAAATTCTTGATTGAATGGACCAGTATATGAAAGAAAGCCAGTAGCTAAAAGAACATCACCAACTAATCGATTTGTTTGAGCTTCAAAACCTTTTGATGCTTCTGTCCAACGTATACGTTCACCTGAAAGACCATCAATTAAAGCGGAAGCATTGTGCATCTTTCTTCGACATGCTTCAGCGTCAGCAAGTAAAGCCTAGAGATAAATAAAAAAGAAAAAGATTTTTTTTTTAAACACAGCATCATTTTAATTAATAATATTTACTTGTTTAATAGCATTTGCTTTATCGAATTCAGCTTGTACAACCTGAAATATAAAACAAAACAATAATAATAGAAAAAGCAAACTGTTAGCGCAATCTCTGAGGAATGAAAATGTAAAAGACAGCGTTGTTAAGGTGTCTGTCACATCAATGATGAGTCATTTGTAATGTGTCTGTAATGGTCTATCAATTCGTGCCTGTCTTTATCTGTAACGTTTGTATGGTATTGTCTGTCATGGTCTGCGGGGTATAAATTTCTATTCTATATACTTCAACACTTCTTCTAGATTGTGTTTCACCATGTGACAAATAATTTAAAGATTATTTAAAGAAAAAGATGCTTACCGCTACTTCAGCCATTTTAGCTGCTAATTGAGCTTGGGCATCATTATAATTTCCAGTAGCTTGAGCAAGACGACTTTCTTGGACAGCTAAGTTAGCTTTTAATGGTAATACTTCTTTGTTAATACCATAGAAATATGCCATAGCCATAGCCCATGAACAAAGACCAGCAACATTACCTGATACACGTTTAGCTGTTTCTAAATTGAAATCTTCCATAAGTAAATATGGTTGTAATAATTCGACTGTTTCAGCATTGATTGTATCCTAATAAAATTTAAAGAATTATTTAAATTTTCTCTAATTTAAATTGATTACTTTTGGAAAATTAACAAGTGTATTTAAGAAATCACCCCCACCCATTAATTTAAGTGATTCACCCCATGATGGTTTTGGACATGGTTTTTCTGGATCCATACTAATAGGATCCATTGGTCGTTGAAATAGAATTATAGCACAATCCATAATACGCATAATTAAATGTGGTGGTCGACCTAATTTTTTAACTGTAGCAATATCAGATGGTTTAATTGTTTTTAATGCTGCTTCAGCTTCTTCTAAAGCTGGTCGTGCTACTTCAAGTTTAGCTTCAGCAACAGCTTTATCCGCTGATATTTGATCAACAAGTTCTTTACATGAATCTGCAACACGTTGTACTTGTTCAGCTACTTTTGTTGCAGCTGACTTTTTAACATTGACGTCTTGCATAACAAGATCAGCGTTTTGATTAGCAACAACTAATTCTTTTTCTTTTCCTTCTAATTCTTTAGCTAATTCTCGTACTTCTTCAGCAGCTGATATAAGTTTTTTCAAACCAGTATTCATACGTTCAGCTAATTTACCAATATCTTTACGTTTTTCTGAATAAATTGATTTATAACCTGCTAAAAATGAAAGATATGATTTTGGTGTAACATGTGTTTGACGACGAAATCTATTAAAATAATCAACACATGCTTCAGCAACTTGATCTTGTATTTCACCCATCATCATAACTAATTCTTGTTTAACTTGTTGTGTACATACAATATCAAAATTACTAATAAAATGTTTTGATACAGCAATTAAAGCATCTTTTGGCCAACGTTGAAACCAATCCATTGTACAACCCGAAATTAAAGCTGGAAATTTTAATGAACGACTACGAAATTTTTCTCCCACAGGTGAAAAACATAAAACAACATGTAAATTGTTTCGTACACGTGTTAAAAAGTAATCATATAAATTTTCATTTGTTGGTGCACGTTTAGGAAATTCACGTTTCATAACTGCAGCTAATTCACCTAAGATTTCATCGATTTCATCACGTGCAAATAAATTTGAAACTTCACCTGATGCTAAAACATTATTCATGTATTCAAGAAAAGCTTCATCTTTTATTTCATTATCAGTAAATAAAAACGTAACACCTTTGCCTTTTTGTCCAGCAGTACGGTATAAATTTTTCAAATCTTCCATTAAATTTGTTACGTTATATGATCTGAAAAATTATTGAAAAAAAAATACTCCAATATTAATTATGATTCTTTTTTTTTTGTTTTACCTTGTTAATGTTATTTGAAAAGTTTGATAACCAGCAATAAATGATGCTAAACGAGTAAGTGACTGTTTTCCACTACCACCGACACCGACTAATAACGCACAACCACGTGGTGTTCGTATAATACGAGAAATTTTAACTAAATGTGTCATTGCATCTTTAAAAAAGACTAAATCCATTTTACCACCTTTTACTTGTTCATTATATTGTTGTTGATAATGTTGAAGTTTTTCACTAAGAGCTTCATATGATGAAATAAGTTCATAAACTTTTGGTGCTTCAAGATCAGTATCTTCACCTTCTTCACCTGTAGCTTCTGGTGCATCACGGAGAAAATCAACAAAATATGGTTCAGGTTGCATTGCAGAAGATGGTTGTTGTCCACATTCTTCATCAGCAACTAACTTAAGTGTTTTCTCAAACCAATCTTTATCTTCTTGTGCAACAAAACGATCAGCTATAACACGATAACATTCATGTTTCCATAACGACATTACAATATCAACTTTATTTCCAGCTACTTCAGATGTTACATTAAGCATTCCCTAAATATGAATATTACTTTTAATAGAATACATATGAGAGAAAAAAAAAGAGTCTAACCTGCCAAATACGTGAAAGATCACGTAAATTAAAAACATAATGAAAACGAGCTGGTGTTGGTAACATTTTAACTTTGGTTTTTTGCCATAATTTTCTTGTTGCTGGTACAAGTTTTTCAATAACATTTACAACATCTTGACTAAAACCACGTTCCTATGAATAATTGAAAAATAAAATAGAAAATTTATTGTCTTTTTTTTATGTTAAAAAAATTATTTACTTTACAAAAATAACCAAGTCCAATAGTACTGAAAACTTTATCAATTGAAGCATTTGATGGTAATGTACAATTAAATATACAAAATTGTCTTTTTAATCGTTGTGGTATATCATTTCTACCACCACCAGGTTGAATCATAGCAGCAATAAATTGTATATCAACAATATTTGTAAATTCACCTGGTTTTTCAAGGTTGTAAAATCCATTTTGTTCCATAACTTGTCGTGTAATTTCATTTGTAACCTTTAAAACAATAAAAACATAACAATAAAATTCAAATGAATGACCCTGCCGGATAAGATGACTATCCTTCATTTGAAAAGTCATCCATATAGTTTTGTAGGGCAACTCGTGCTACTATAGAACAAGGCTTTTTCATTAAACTTTTATGTTCTACGAAGGTATATATAGCAATTACGGATCTTATAGCGATTGCCGGTAATGTGATCATATATTAGGACTCATTATATCTCCAAACAAACCTGTATGAAGTCTTGTTTAAGGTTATTTCAATAGAATTTTGTCTGATGTTCGATCGCGTATATCTAATAATACTCAAAATAGTTTTCTTCCTAGTCAAAACCTGAGAAATTTTACTAGTTTCTGTAAGTTTTTGACTTTTGTAATATTTTAAATTCTTCGATACTGCTTCTGAGAGTAAAGACGATCAATCTTGCCATCATCTGAGAAATGGTAAAAAGTATTTTTTGCTTAGTTTTGTTTTTATTTTTTTGTTTCGTACGAATTTAGACTCTGAGTAGGTAAGTGTAGTTAGAGTATGGAGCTCTATTATATTCAATATATCTAGAGTCTCCTATTGAAATGAAAAATTTGGCATATCTTTGTACCTTCTTCATGGATCTGAAAGTGAAAAATTTTCTTTTACCATTTTCAAAAGGTTCATATATATATCCATTGATATACCATGATGAATTTATTACTTATATAAATTGAAACTGTTGCACTCAGAAAATATATTTATTGCAAAACTCATGTACATCTCTGTTCTTCAAAAACGAAAAAATTGACCTTTTTCAGGCATTGATTGGCCGTTTTGACTATGACACACATCAACCCAGAACAAAATCAATTGATATACTCGTAGGACTTGATGACACACAGTTTCTGAAAAAGCTGCACGGTTGGTCCTTTTGACCTTCAGAAACCGTATAGAACAATCGAAAATATCGTAGAAGCAAAAAAATGACAGAAGCTAGTAAAAGTTCTTGGGTTTTGAGTACAAAGAAAGCTATTTTGAGCATTATTAACTATAGATAATTGAAGACCAAACAAAACTATATTAGAATTATTGGTTGGTTTGAAGATGTATAAAGTCCTAATATTTGGTCATATCACCTATAACTCAAGTTGCTTTACTCAACAGTATAGGTAGCTTTTCAAGTATAGGATGGTTATCCTATTCGACAGGATCCTCTAATAAATCTTACTTGATCACCCCATTCATTTATAATAGGCATATTAATATCGTCAATAAAGATTGTCATTTTCTTTCCTCCCGGCGGTCCATATGTTGTACCAACACGTTTATCAACATAACTTTCAATTGTTCTTTGAACCATTGTTGCTGTAGTTGCACTTGAAAAATTGACACTTTTAAATGATTGAGCTTCAGGATCATATTTTGAACAATAACCTTTAACAATAACTGTTTTAGCAGTACCCTAAAAAGAAGAAGAAGAAAAATAAATTTTCTTGAAAAACAAATTTTCTTTTCTTTTTTTTTACTTGTTCACCAATTAATAAAACAGATTTTTCTTGTTTAGCAATTGTATCAATCAAAAAATCTGTTCGAACATTATCAACATTAGGTACAAGAATTGATGAATATTCAGGTATTGAATCTTTTGGATAAGTATATTCAGGTACACGATTACTCCAATGTTGCCATTGTCCAGTTTCAGGACTAACAACATATTCAAAAATTGTTTCTTCACCTTTTATTGGTGGTAAATCAAGAACTTTTTTTTCAACAAGAAAATCTTCTAATTTCTTTCGATCAAATAGTTCAAGTAGAGCACCAACAGACCACATTAATGCAAATACATAAAGACGACCAAGAACATCTGGTGCTGGTGCTTTATCTTTATTGATTAAACCTTCTAATAAATCAAGTGATTGTTTTGTATACATGCATTCGAGTAACTAAATTTAAAAAAAAAGAAAGTAAATTATTTTTTGCAATAATTCCAAATTAAAGAAATTATTTACTGGCATTTTTGGATCAAGTGATTGAAGAACATAAGTTAAAGCATCGGGAAATGATCTTGTATAAAGATTAAGTAAAACATCAGTTTCACTTGGACTACGTTTAAGTAACCATCCTTTTACAATAGGTTCCCAATTCATAACTGATGCTGACATGAAGACCATACCGTTTCGACTGACAGTAGCTGGTGAAGCATTATCAATATTGTGTACTTCAAAAATAATTTTACAATTCGGTGCCATTGGAATTCGATCACCATTAGCTAATGTTAAAGTTTTATTATCGTCCAATACAGAATTTAAATTTTCAATCCAAATAGCATCGACAGGTCCATCGAGAATTAACCAAACATGATCACCCTAAAATAGATCATTCAAAACACATTAAATTTCCTTTTTTGAATTTTCAATACTTTTTTCGTTTTTAATGTTCGACGCCATAATGTTGAAAATATTCCATCAGTCCAATCATTAGTTGCTACATCTAATCGACCAAACATTTGTGGAGCTGTGATAGCTTTTGGATTCATACGCATTTCACGATGTGGTGCACCACATTCAGTCATTGCTTTCATTAAAACACTATGTTAAAGAAAATAATTGAATTAGATACAAAAAAAACACAATAATCATCTTTTTATTTATTTCTTCTTACTTGATACATTTTGTTTTTCCAGCACCACTAGGTCCTAATGTCATCATACCATGACGTACACGTTGTGTTTCATAAAGTTGAATTAATTTCAATACCCATGGTGGATGATGTACTAATTGTGCTTGTTCAGTCTAAATTAAAATGGTGAACAAAATCCTTCAATATAATTTATATTATAATAAAACTAATTAATACTTGTGTTTTAATAGCTGCTTCGATTTCTGGATAACCTTTTGTTTCAAGTTGAATACCAGGAAATAAATCATCAATTAGAGACATAAATAATGGTTCATCTTCATCAATCTATAATAGAAAACCAAAACAAAATATCTTTCATATGATGATAAATAATAAATACAAACCAATTTTGAAAGATTCATATCACGTAAAATTCGCATCATAGTTTTTTCTTCAGAATCAGTTGGATTTTCACGTTTAAATGCACCAAGTGTACGTAAAACCGATAGAATATTTCTTAAACCAAAATCATAATGGACTTGTTTTGTTAATTGTTCTTCGCATAGTTTATATAATGTGTAAAATTTCTTTGATAATTTAACATTTTGAAGAAAACCACAACTAGCTAATTTGACACGCATAATAATAGCACGATCAGGAACCATCATAGCTAGAAGAAAAAAAAATAATTAAATATAAAAATAACAAAGACAAAATTAATTATCAAATGACTTACCAACTGTACGAAAGTTAATTTTTAAATTTTCAGGTAATTCCTGTCGACCAGCATAACCAGGATTCTAATTTTTGAAAATGAAAATAATTCAATAGAAATCTTACGAGAAAAGTCACACGACTAATTAATCATTTTTGAATCGAGGCGATATGCAGCATATAGTCCCTAATAAGCTATAAATATACTGAAAAGAGCTGGTACTTCTAGCTTGTTGCTGCCGAGATACTATATTTGTATGTCATGTTCTTTTTTTAGTGAATGTCTTGGTACTGCTCAAGAACACAGAAAAACTCATTTTCGAATTCCAACTTGAAGCCTTGCACAGAGACAGATCTTAATGAGCATAACTTATTGTGAAAATTTCAAATCATTTTGTTGTTCCTATTCTAAGACACATCGAGGAGTACGATAAAAGCTTGTGTTTTATATTATTCAGGTACACCGACAGATTTGACATCTTTCACAATGAACTGCTCTCATCAAGATCTATCTCTATGCAAACTTTCAAATCGAAACTTGCCGGTGAGGTTTTCTTTTGTTCTTGAAGGGGACTACTGCATTTAACAAAAAAAAACTAACGTACAAATGTAGTCTTTCAGCAACAATAACTTAATGACCTAAATTCTTTTCAATTTATTCATAGTTGATAGGATCTCCATGATACACATAGACTGGATTCAAAAGAAATTAATGAATTAGGTGACTTCTCTTGTTAAATGAAAATATTGATTTTACCATGGTAAGAAAGAGACCAAATTCAGTATCCATATCAACATTATCTCCATCTGTAAAAATAAATGATGGTTTTTTTTCTTTTTTACATCGTAAAACAATATCAATTTGTTGAGCAGCGACAGAAAGTACAGGCAATTCAATACGATTGAATTCATCGAAACAACCCCATGAGCCTATGAAGAAATTAAATGATAATTTCAAATGTATTTTACTTATAATTATTTACCTGATTGAGCTAAACCTTTGTAAATACGTCCGAGACCACGATAATCCATTTGATCGGAACAATTGAATACCTATTTATGTTAAATATTATTCATATTGGTATTGAATATTTGTTTTTTGTATAACTTACAACAACAAATTTTCCAAGACAACGACCCATATCTTTTGTTGTTTCTGTTTTTCCGGTTCCGGCAGGTCCTGCAAAAAAAACATCTCAAACTTGTAAATAATCTTTAACTTTGAATTATTTATACCCGCAGGTGCACCACCTAATGACATGTGTAATGCTTGTGCTAATGTGATATAGCAACTATGAAAGAAAAAAAAGGATAATTTAAAATAAATTAAGTTTTTTTTTTAATATTCTTACCGATCAGTTAATGGTGTAATGACAAGTCGATCAGTACAACCCAAATATTCATTCATATATTTAAAATCGACATCAGTTATTGATATACGACATATATCAGCATCTTCATCAAAATAAAATCGACATTGCTTAAGCCAATCGAATTCACCTGGTGACCGAGTTTTATTTACAACCTATGATTAATTTAGTGAGAAGAAAATGAAAAGAACAAAGATTATTTTTAGTTTAATCGAAATACATACAAGTTCATCGAAAATATCTTTTTGATGTACATGAATTGTGATTAATGTTTCGATTTTAACACGATCTAATTTTGATAAATCTTCTGTTGTTTTATTAATTAATGCATTAAGAATATCAAGAAATTTCTTTGCTGTATCTGTCATTATTTTTTTATCGGTCTTTGTATTATTTAAAGCTACTTCTGCATCACGTGTCCATAACATTTGAAGACCAAGCAAACCAACCTAAATAAAATAGATGATAGTATCTTACATAATGGATAGTTCCAAGCTTTTGTGACAAATATGTTCGTTCATTTTTCTAGTGTTTAAAAGAACTAGCAGACATTTTTATAAATCTTCATTTATAATCGGAACTTTCGTAAGTCTCATACATTAGAAGTTAGGAGCATGTCTTCGAAAATAGAGTTTCGACGAGTTACAATATCCATAAGAAAACGAGTAGAATAGAAGTAAAATTTATTCGACAGACGTCAAAAGAATAAACAAAGAAGATGATATCCTGATCGATAATTTTCTATAAGACGTCTATTAATTATGACAGTTTTGGCAAGAAATACAGTCGCATTTTCTCAATTCATTGTTTCCTAGACTTATAAAACCAAAACCGTCATTTTTGAAGCATTGCTGCAAGATTCACGGTTCTTTATACTGTGCATGAGAATGACTGATAGAACGTAAGTAGATTCACCAAGAAAAGTCGCTGAATAACATCATAGAAACAAGTTCAAATGTAATACTTAGGAATGCACAGTGTAAACACTGAGAGTTAGTCATCAACACAAGCGTCACTATGGCACTGATTACACTGAAACCCGTGTCCGCTGCAACATTAAGTCACCAACTTAATCACAATATGCACTTTTCGGTAGAGATGTGTTCCAATGGACACTAACTACATTGAGTCAGTGGTTAGTAAACGAAAACTGCACATCTCTATTTATACAGTCACATTCTTCATACGTAAATCTGTTATGAGCACTAAATTCTGCTAGCTCTTCTCATCAGTCGAAAAATTTTCTCTTAAACCTTTTGGTCTACTTATTAAAATTAAATGAATAATTTACTTGAGCTGGAAAACTATTGAGAAAATCAAGTAAATTAAAAGATGGATCTTGAATAGCAATAGCACCATCACGAATAATTTTATGCAATGACGCACGTGACATTTTGAGTAAATCTCCAAGCCATACTTCAACATTACCCTATTCATAAATAACAAAGCAAAGTTTATTTATTTATAATGTTTACAAAATCAATACCTGAGCCATAACTGGCTCTTTTAATGGTACCATTTCACCTTCTTGTGAATTAATTTCAAGAATTTTATCATAAACTTTTTCATCAAAGGTAACTGTTTTCGTATTATCAAAAACACTTAATAAATGATTCTAAAATAAATAAACAATTACTAAATTATTTCTACGATATAATTTCTATTTACTTGAATCGTATGTGAATCACTAGCTTGACCAAGAATTTCTAAAAGTGCTGGATCAGAAACAAAGAAAAATCTTGGAAATACTAAACGTTTCTTTTCAAGATAACCCGTTAAAGATTTTTGACATAATTCAAGTTGTTCAAATAAATGTGGTAATAATTGTGCTAATGTATCATCAGCTGTACAACAACTAACAACATTTAAATTTTCATGTGCACGTTGCATAATTTTTTGCCATGATTTATCAATATTTCCAAAACGTTTAGCTTCAGCTGGTAATTGTTTTGCAATATCACCACCAACAAAGACAGCTTCTAAATAAATCCAAAGATTTTGTACAGACATCCATTTTTCAATAATTTCAGTTGTTGATGTTAATTTTTGTACCCATTCTTGAATTTTCTTTTTAAATGGTGCATTATAACTAAAAAAATTAATTTAAAAAAAAAATAACAGCGAAACAAGATTTTTTTAAATTACCGATTAGACATTAATGAACCGAGTACCATTAACGAATCTTCCATAAGTGCAATTATTTCACCAGTAGCATCACCTTTTAATAGAAGTTCACCACGAGTTTTAAATGTACTAAATTGAAAATTTTGATTTCCCCAATCAGCAACAACTTGATTAAGTTTAGCTTCAATATCTTTTTCTTTAATAGCTGATATACAAATATCCTTAAAAGAAAATTATTTTTATATTTTTAATTTTTTTTTTTTCTTTTCATTGAAATTATTACTTCAATATCTTCTTTATATTTAAGTAATGGTGCTGTCATTATATCTCGTAGAAGAAAATTGTCAGATTCGATATCAAATTTATGTCCAGTTACATTAGCAATACGTTCCCAATGACGTGGTTTCATTGATTTATTAGCCATCATTTCAAGTAATGGACAAGTTTCATTAAAATCATCTAATAAAAGCAAAAAAAGAAATCATCAAGCAAATTCTAATTAATCGATTTCCTACGTACCAATTGTCTTTTTTAATTCTTCGAAAGCATCATATTCTTTCAAACCTTTTGGTAATTTTCGACAACGATTTTGAAAATCTAATAAATCATTATTAATTTTTTCAATATCAACATCAACCCAAGTTATATCATAATATCCATTGATTGTATCAATAACAATATTATATAAACCATAAAGTTTTTGTAATAAACCTAATTCCTAAAATTATTAAGAAATAATTAAATGAACACATTCGAAAGATTATAGCATTGAGTTTCGAGATAATTAATACTACGAGGTCATTATGATTCCAAAATAGTGACCTAACCAGCAAAAAATAGTTTTTTACGAAGAGAAGACTAGTTGCGCTGACTTTGTTTTCAAACAGAATAGAGATACGTGGTTCCAGTAAACTGCTCAACAAAACTACATATCTCCAAGAAGTAGTGAAGACTCTTTAGTAATACTTATAGGAGAGTAGGGGGGAAGGGTCTGAGCTCCCCTCTAGCTTCCGTCTGATTACATCATTATCCAAAAAATATTAATGCCGCATATTCGAAATTTAAGGATGAAAAAGATAATGAACCTGATGAAGTCAGTCAGATCGAAAATTTTTCGATTCAAACTTAATAAGCTCTAGAATCACATCACCTTGAATATACTAATTGAATAGACATTTCTCTCATCTAGTGCAGTTATCTGGCATATAAAAGTTCATCTCTCGGATATTTAATCTTCTGACTATGAGACAAGTTTTCGATTGATTCAAAAGCAAATTGAAATTAAAGAAAAATGAATTAATACTCGTTTTATTCGTTGTAAATCTGGATATTCCGTTATTGATAAACCAAATAAATCTTCACCAGCACTATATGTTTCAAATTTTCTCCATAATTCATCAAATTTTGCTTGAAAGATTGTTAAACGATCACTAGCTTCACGTGGTGGTGTACCCTGAACCATAGGTCCTCTTTAAAAATCAAAATAAATTTAAATTTTGAATTCAATGATTAGAATAAAATAATCAAATTTTACTTTTTATTATAATCATCAACAAATGTATTAAAATCTTGTTGAAATGCTGTAACATTATCCAGAAGATTTTGTTTAAATACTGGTTGAATTTCAAGTAAATGAGCTTGTACTTCTTTTCCTTGTTGTAAACATTTTTTCCATGCATATTGTAATGTATCAACAAGTTCAGGTTTACCATCATTAAATGCAATTTCATATTTATTTAACATCACATAAGTTTCTTCAACAGGTGTTATTGTTTGATCAATTAAAATTTCATTTTGACGTATTTCAGCTAATGCACCCATATGTGTACGAACATCATCTAAATCTTTACATGGACGTGTTAAACGTTTTTGTATATCATCGATTTTATCGAAGACCATTTGCATATCTTGTGATGATTTTTCATTTAAAGCTTTAGCATAGGCCATTTTCCAATTATTTATTTCAGTTTTTAAACCACGTTTTAAATTATCAGTATAAAATACAATTGAACCCACTTGAAATAATGGAGGAAATTCATCAATATCAGTTTCCATTCGACGATAATGTTTAAATAATGCTTCAAAATCAACCATTAATGGTTTCGATTCCATAAATGTTTTGACAGTTGTTTCTGGTTCCTATTTTCATACACAAAAAGGAAAATAAATGAAATTAATAATAAATCAATTTTTACTTTTTCCCATAATTCAGCAAATCCAGTAAAATTTTTCATCATTTCTTGAACATCAGGTTTAAATGTACTTATAGCCGAATTAAGTGATAAGACGACTAAAAAAAATTGAAAACAATAATTATTATCAACATATCAATAATATTATTTTATTTACCTTTTTTTACATCATTATTTTCTGCAATGACCTAAAAAAATGAGAAAACGAAAATTTTTAATAATGAATTTCTCTTATAGGAAGCAAAAGATAAACGACAATGGGACTATTTGGCTTATAAACATGGTCATTTCCACAACATATTGGGATAAGAAGTGTGTAAAATACAAAGAAATCTCTAAATGTATTGCGAATTTATTTTGTTTCGAATGTATCAAAATAAAAATTCACAACTTTCTGATCATAACAAATATTTTATTCCTTACTCTTGCTTCTCCTATTATAGATTTCGGCAGGCTTTTTTGTCCATCAAAATCTTTAGGACGAGATGGTATCCAATTTTTATGCTATATTAAATTCAATAATGATATTTCATAAAAGAAAAAAAACTTCTCCAAACCAATATAATAAACACAACAAAGACAAAACAAATTTTCAAACCTTATGTAATGGTTTTGGTGCTTTAGCTTGTACAGCTAATTTAACATCTTCACCTTCATCTAACGCTTGTTTTTCAATTTCCTATATGATATAAAATAATAATATATTATTATTTAAATAAATAATATTTTAATTTATTCTTACTTTAATAGTAATTTCTCGTAATTTTTGTGCATGAAACCACTCTGGTATATCTTGTCCTATTTTAAGCATTGTATTTGCTGATTTATTTAATTGTGATTGCATATCATCTAAACTTGGTTTAACAAGTACATTTGGTATTGATAAAACAATATCTGTACGAAATAATGGATTTCGTACTTGTTCACGTATAACTTCTTCACCAACATAACGTATTGGTTGTTGTAAACGTTTTCGTATTGTTTCTAATGAACTTCGTGTACATTGTACAATAGCATCAATATTTTTATTCCAATAATTTGTTAAAAAATTAAAAAATGCACAAGGTTGACAATCATTACAACGTGTAACATGTCCTTTTGTATTCATTGCTGATTTAAGTGAACAATCATAATATTCACTCTCAGTTTCTTTTATTTGCATTTGTTCATTTGGTTTAAGACGTTTTTTAAGTATTTCAAGTAAATAATGAACAGCTTTTTCACATAATAATGTTTGTTTTGTTATTGAACTAATTGCATGTTGACATGATTCATCTGTTAATTTAGAAAATTCATCCAGTGTTATTGGATCTTGTTGTGGTTCACACAATTGGGTATCAGCTATAGTTTGTAAAGAATTTTCAATACGACATTGTAAAATATCAGTACAATCATTAATAAGAATACGTAATTGTTCTAGTTCTTGCCGAACATTAGTAATATCTGAAACAGAAAGTACGTTAAAAGATAATAGAATTATTTTAGTTTAAAAGCAAGAGATTACATACATTCTTCAATTGTTAATGAAGACCATGTGATAGCAACAAAACCAGGTCGTAATGCTTCTTCGACTTTTTCGCGATGTGGTTTAAATAGTTGTGACATATCTTTTGGAATTAATGCATAAGCATGTTTAATATCATTTAATAATTCTTGTAAATTAACACTTGTTTGTCGAATTTGTTCTTCTTGTCGAAGTAGTGTTGTTGCAGTTTCTGGTATATCTAAACCTAATTTTGATAAATATTGTGCATCTTTAATTAATTCCAATACTTGTGGATCAAAATTAACATATTCTTCCTATAATGAAAGATGAATCAAACAAAGAAGAACAAAAACAAAATATGCATACTTTTGTTTCTGGATGTCGAATATAAATAGTTGCTTCCATGCCTTTCTTAATTAAATCAATACTACGTTCCCAATTACGATAAAATAAAACTTCATATTGAAGTAAAGCTTCAGCTATTTTATTAAAATTCTTTATTAATAATCTTCCATCTTCACTTTTACTTAAATCCATTTTATCTTGTAATAATTTAATTGGTATACTTATACGTTGATATAATTGTCTTGCCCATATAATTCGACCAGCTGTTGGTGGTAAATTACGTGATAATGGTGGATCTTCTTTATTTTTTTCATAAATTTTACGTACACTATCGAGTTCTTTACTAAAGTTTTGTAATAATTTACTAAATTTATCACCAAAATCAATTTTAACACCTTCTAAATCTTGAAATTTATTAAGAAATAATAAAGATTGTTCAACCTAAAAAAAGAAAAATGATTTTTTTCTTGATGTTTTAACATTATTTTAATAAATTACTGTGTATGATTTTCGAAACCATGAATCGATAAATAATTGTAATTGAGCTTGAATATATTCAATTTGTGATTTAAATTCATTATAATCATTATCAAACTAGATTTTCAAAAAACAAAGAATAGATAAAACTATGCTAAAAAAAAAGTAAATTAGATTTTATTTACATCCGGTTTTCGATGATCAAGTAAATCATATGATTTCTTTTTTATTGCATCAACAACTGATCGATATTTAACAACAATTGGTTCTAAACCTTCAACACGAATATTTTGTAAGCCACTTAAACTTTCGATTGTATTTAAAACATCAACAATACGATCAAGACGTTTGCAAAATGTATCAAATTTACCAAAGATATAATTTTCGCTAAAATATTTATTAATTAAAAATATTTTATAAAAATAACTGAACAAAAGGAGGATATTTAGAATGCTCGTTTGATGTTTGAGAGAAAATTTTTAGAAGACTGTAGACTTATAATTTTCAAAGATTTTCCAAATTGGAATTGGCACAAACGAAATGATATATAACCGAAGTGAATATACAGAGTTAAAGATACCCATATATTCAGAATGTTATTACAGTACGTGAAAAAGTATTCTTAGGGATAAACGGGATCCGTCATTTTTATTCTCGGTCCTATCGATAGGGTTCGTGAATCCGGATCGGATGAACTGTTCTTAAACACTTTCAATGAAATTTTCTATTCGGCATTGAAAAGTTACCCAAAGATACGAGATACTTCTCTTCGGTTTTTTTGCATTCGGTGACTAGCTCAACCTACATATTTCTCAGACGACTAGAGCCTATCAGATTCGATTGGATCCGAAACCATCTTTCCCATATATTGATGTCCTACTATTAGTAAGTAACAGGTGCTTGGTTAGCTACTTAGCTGCGAACTAGTTCAGCACATGAGTACTGACCAAGTACTCGTTTGGATATTTGCCCAGTTTTTACAGCATAATAGGAAAAATTCTCCAATCAGTTAATCTACTGAACACTGACTAGTATTCTATAGTCAAGCGCTAAAAATGATAGTAGGATATCGTGAACCCAGTACATTCACTAAGAAAGTTGTATCGATTAATGCATCTAATATCCTCGAACAAAATCATCAAATAGTTGCTTCGATTCGAATTGAAAGTTCATCAAGTTCTACTGGAAAATACTGTATTAGACTGAAATTTTCATTTATCTTTGATTCTATATTTTCGATTTAAGGATATGTAATCGTTGCCTGTGTCCGAAAAATTTGCTTATGCTGACTTTACCCTAGATGATAAGATTACTATGTACATTTCTACTTCAATTCTTTCGTTTGTTAAGTTTTTTTTCTTACCTAAAATTCCATTGTCGTTCATTTGCTGATTCTTGTAATTTTCCTTTTGTTTTATGAAAATATGCTTGATATTCATTATTTAATTTTTTACTTTCCTGAATACGATTAATAAGATCTTGTCTATAATTAAGAAACACAATAAAGAACAACACTCATTATTAGACAGACTCTTTACTTTGGAATATCCCAAAGACGAGTACAACCATTTTTAATATAACGTTTACATGTGTTTATCATTTGATTTGTAATTTTAACAAATAAAGATGTCATTCGTTCAGATGAATTATAATATTGTGAAATACTATGTATCATACGAATAGCATTCATTAAACTAGGAATATTTTCGGCAATGGCATTCTAAATAAAATTTACATGGAATTCATTATTGAAAAAATTCATAATAAGATAATTCTTACTGGATTATTTTTATCTAGTGTACTAAAAAATTTATCAAGTGTATATAAATATCGAACATTATCTTTGGCTTCATTTGCAGCATCAGTTATTCGAGCATCCTAATTAAAATAAAAGACAAACATGAAAATGAAATATATATTTTGCTAACTAAACCTACTAAATCTCTCCAACGATTAATGGATTTTGATTTAGCTGATTGAAGAACACCAACAACAGCACGACATCGAGGAGATTTGATTTGTTCTAATAAGTTATTAAATGTAGCCATGCGTTGTTTCCAATGAATTAATTCAGCAGATGCTATAATCATTTTTATAATATTTTTCATACATAAAAACTCTTTGATACTTACGGCCAACATCATCAGCTTCACGTCGAATTTGTTCACTTTCAGCTAAAATCTACAAATAAAAAAAGAAAAAAGAGATTTTTTTTTGTTTCTTCATGGTAATTTTCTACTTTTTCAATTTGTTTACACCATTTATCCATTAATTTTTCACATTCAACTATAAAATCTCCATTTTGTGCCATTGTTTGATAATCATTTGGTGTTGCTAATGTTGATAGTGTACTATCATTATCACTTGGTGCTAATTTTACTTGATGAGCTATAATGCACAAAATAATATTTAAAAACAAAAAACAACGAATTGTTTTTACCTATATTATCACTTGCACCATTTACAGTTGCTGTAAATTGCGACATGGCATCAAGAAAATCTTGTACATTAATATTACTACGCGTTTTTAAAGCTCCCCAATCCTTAAAAATAAATATTTTTTTATTGTTAGTTTTAAATTATTTTAATCAAAACAAACTTCATATTGTTGCAATAATGGAATTAACATATTTGCTAATAATTGATCAATAGATTCAAGCATTTTCCCATTTGATGCATCTAATTGTCCAAATACAACTTCATTAACAATATTAGCCGGTGTTATTGCTTTCGGTTGATTTGGACGAACAAAATAATAAAGAACACCGGTGAGTTGCTAAAAAACAAGGTCGTCGTATTCAAAGATAAATAATAAGAAAGGAAATTAAAAATTAATACCATCGATTCATCACCGGTACTAATCATAACACGTTTTTTTGGTCCAGTATTTGTTAAACGACCATAGACTGGTTGATTTGGTTCAGGATTCTATTTAAATTAAATAAAAATATTTTAGAAAAAAAGGTCAAACACAAATGTCTTTTTACTTTCGATTCTTGATAATAAAACATTAATACTCGACGTCCACCAGCAAGAAAAAAATCATCAATACAATCAAACTAAAAACAAAACAAACATGAGTGGTTCCTAAATAGATTTATGAAATATAGAAATCACTTTATCATCTCCTAAAATATGATCTTCAACTTGTGATGGTTCGATTCCGATCGCTTCAGCAAGCTAAAATAATTATTATTCAATATATAATAAAAAAACGAAAAGAATTTTCTTAATTATCTTACACGTCCAAAAAGATATTCATGTCGAGCATCGATCTATACATAAAAGAAAAGAAAAAAGAATTGATTAGCAAAAATAAAGCTATTTTAAAATAATATTTTACCGTTGCACGTCGTTCATCACGAAGAGCTTTAGCTTGTCGAGCAATTTCATGTTGACGATCACCACCAACTATTTTACTCTTTGTCTAAAAATATATACGTAATAATAAAAATTTTTTTGCAAGCACAATCATACTGGTGCTACTGTAGTTGCAGCTGTTGTTTGAGAAACCGGAGCTTGAGTTGTACCAGCAGAACTTATAGGTCCATTTGCACGAGCATCAGCTATTCAAAACAAATTAATTAGAAGATTGTTTTGTGTTTGAAAAATTAACAAACTTTTTGTTGTAACAAGTGGCGGTGCAACTTCACCACCATTTGGAAGATCAGCCATCTATATAAAGAAAATATATTAAGAAATTCTTATAATTTATTGGGTTTCATTTACTTTTACACAAATTAATTGTTGTTGCTACCAATAATTGATACACAACTATAAAAAAGTTCAAATAAGTATGCTCTAAAAAAATTTCTAAGGAATGAATTCGTTTTAGTTATATCATCGCATAAAACAACAATACATAGACGCAATCTCGAAGCATCTCGCTTGCTTTCTCTCTCGTTTTTTCTTCTACTTTTATGAATTTTCAGTATTTTAACAATGAATTTCTTTTTTTTCTCCCTCTTTCAGTCTCTTCATTGCCTAGTTGCAAAGTTGCATTATTATTGTTTAGTTATGAAAGAAAAAAAAGGAATAAGGACAAGTTCTGTTTGTGTTTCTATCAACACCGATTTCTTTGCTGCCATGTTCTGTTCTCTTCTCTTTCTACTTATTCTTCTTTTTCAAGAGTATAAAATGATGATGTTGGTAGTGAACGGCAGATGAAAGAAAAAATCAATCGAACTTATTCTTTCTCTTTGTTTGAAGACGAAATCATATGAAATTGAATAAAGAAACTGTTGATGTTATTGTCTACACCTACGATGGAGTTGCTGCCAACAATTGTTAATGATTCTACTGGTGCAAATTCCATTATATATATATATACAAATGTTTATTTCACTTGCACAGAGAACATATGCATTTATTTATTCTATCAATTTTTTTTCAAAAGAAAAACTCATCAAAAAAAAAAGGCTAACAACGAAAAAAAAAACACATAACATAGAATCGAAATGTGAATATGTGAAGAGACACAAAATGAAAAAAAAAAATATCAAACACCGTGGTAAAGATTTGCACACAAAAAAAAGAGACCAAGGTTCTATAGGAGGGCAAAGAAGGAAAAAAAACACGGATTAATAATCATATTTTATAAATTTGTAATTGATTCACCACTTTCACAGCTATATAATTTGAACCTAATCGAGCAGTATTTCTTATATAACCACCTTTACCATTATAATCAATAACTGTTTTTATTGTTTCATCATCATTAAATAAATAAAAACGTTCTTTATAATCTGTTGCCATCCATTGATTTCCATTCATATATGATAATAAATGAAGATTAGAATCAGAATTAATTCGTCGAAGCAATTTCATATGATAATCATACAAACATATCCGATAACCGAAATTGAGACCACAAATATTCAATGCTGAGAAAAAAGAAAGATATAATATTGAGATGGAAAATTTATTACACAAATCTTGAAAATAAAAATACTACTCCTATAACTCTTCAAACTTAATCTGTTTTAGCTAAGGTATATAGATATATATAGAATAACCCAAAATAAAGTCAAATCTTTATTTACCATTACCTTTGTGAAACATTCATTTGGTCTCATTATTTTCTCTATGAATCCTTTGTAGAATATTTTTATTTACCCTGTTCGTTAGTATATTATTTTGACAAGTTCTATTCAAATAATAAAATTTCATGCAAATGTGATGCTTTCTCTTACATAAATATTTAATCAAATAGTAAATTCGATAGAACAATCAAATAATTCATTCGAACGAAGACATTTTTAGTCATATAGATTGCGAAGGTTCGTTTCAACAAGTGGCGAATCCCGAACACTAACGCCTCTATTATATACGTTGTGGACTGGTAGGTGGCGTCCGCACTAATTGCATTGCGTTATCAAGAGTACACGGGACTAATAAAGTAGTGGTGCTCTATATTGCCATATCCAGAACAAGAAAGGAGCTAGTGTTTTAGTTTAGCTGTCAGCTGCATCACTGCTGATTAGTGTCATGGATAATACAACACACGTGGCGACGGTGCCACCCAGCATTGTTCACCCAAAACAAGAGGAGCGCTGATTTCAACTGATCAGTCTCATTTTTTTTAACAAGATCTATGGAATTATAAGTTATCGATTATGAGAAGTGCTAACGAAAAATGTTTTTTAATATTATGACATATAGAATTGTCTACAAAACAGTAATTTTTTCTCTTTGAAACCGTTTCTGCAGAAAATACAACAGATACATATCAACATTTCAATGTGATTATTGGAAAAGAGACAATTTGTTATGCTCAACAATCTGAATGGATCAAAAACTATTTGCAACATGCTTGCTATTCTAGACAGTCAGCATAGAAGAAAGACCTAAGCGAGTTTCTCGTGATCATATTTTGCATCAGCATGGTTGATAACCCATAACCCAACCACTTAGTGAGAAAGCTATTAGCACAACCCCTGTGTGACTAAAATGTATCAATATTTTTATAATAGTTCTGCTCACTTATGATTGTTCTATTCAGTTTTATCATCAGATTTTACCGAATTTAAAAAACTAAGATTCAGAATTAATCAAAATTTATGAGTTTTAAGAGAAATCAAATGATAATATCGAACTGAGTATTCAAAATTGATCACTGCTGATAGTACTAGTTGACGAAAACTTGTAGTTTTAAATATTGCAAGTATGTTGTCTTTGGATGTAAACATATTAATTTCAGAAGCTTCAAATTCAAAAGTAACGCATTTTTAATATTGAGAACTCGTAGATCCATGTCAATCGTTAATGTTAGTCGTGCTCAATTCGATACTATAGTTTGATTCGTCTTAAAATTCATAAATTTCAACCAATTCTAAACCTCATGTTTTTGATCCAATAATGTCTAAAGATAGCGTTGGGTAGAGCAATCAAAATGTAGCAAAACTGTTATTAAAAAAGAAAAAATTTCAAAGAACAATAAATATTCAATAATAAAACAGATCACGTTTGAAACTAGTGCTTGGAAATTGGTGAAATCGGAAACAGGATGCAGCTACTACTACTAATCGTATGGAGACTATTTTATTCTATCTGTGTTGAGACACATTTCTTCATCATTTGTTAACTTAGGCTTTCAGAAATGCAATAAAAAAGGAGTCTAACGAGGCAATCCTGATATATGATCTTACATCGTATATCGACAATGTCTGCCACAGTTTGAACACATTTCCTCGTTAGTGCAATTAATAAACCATTCGTATAAAAGATACTATAAAGCTACTCAATGACTTTAAATAAACCTGTAAAACTAAAAATTGAACTGAAAATAATCATTTTGCTATAAGGAATTTTATGAATATTTTAGATTTATTTTTCTATTATTTAAAGGTGTCCCCAATAGTGGACTAAGGCGAGCACTGTTTTACTACTGTTCATTTTCGTCTAATCACCAGACGACAGAAAAGTGTAAAATGATCATTATAGATACTACATTACATGGAACTCTGCCAAGATTGTAGAGCATTACCCTACCACCCACTCACTCTCATGCTTACGTCACTGCTATTACTTATCGCATAAACTTTTTTTGTTCATCAATAAATATAAAAACGTAAAAAAAGATGATTTTCGTTTGTGTAATTAAGGTTTTGTAACATTAAACTAACCTAGCATAATATGGTTGGCACGAATACGAGATGTTAAACGAAAATTTTCACGACAAAATTCTTTCTGTGGCCAGCCTAAACAAACAAAAGAAACAAAATATAGAAGTAATTCTTTCGAGAGTTTACCAAAGTTTACATCGACTTTACAGGAATAAAGCGAAACTTTTAAATCTTGTAGAGCTCATGCCTGTATGCATAACTGTGAGCCTATTTTCAACGAGAAAAGTCTGAAAACTTTGTCGTAGACACTAATCATGGGGGCCATCATGTTTTCTAGAGGATAGTTTTTTTTACTCTGTTTATGTTTTTTTGGGGGGATTCTAGGATCGTCTTACTATTTTCTATGTAACGGTGAAACTTCTGGACTTGTGGATTGTTTCTAGACTGAAGGTTAAAGCGATCTTTGGGATTGAGTGTCGAATTTTTCGCAACTTTGCACCTCTCTCAACAAAAAGAATGGGACCTTAAAACATATCCTATAGTGAAGATTCGTTAGCACATAAAGTTCTATCATTCTTGAAATTTTCGTTGTTGGTTCATGCAGTTTGACCAAAAACGAAAATTTCTAAAATACTAATAAACCTTGAAATTTTTGTTTGAACTTCATAGAAGTAATTGTGCCCAATAAACAGAACACAAGGTTAAAAAAACATCGGATAGAAAAAAATGATTGTCTTAACAACTATTATCTATGGTAAAATTTTTTGACTTTTATCGTGTGAAACATAGGAGTTAGATAGTATCCATTGGATTGAATAATCCAACTCGTCTCATCTCTTTGCAAAATTTTCAAATTCTTTTTGAACTCATAGTCATATTAATAAACATGAATTCTACAAGTTCTAAAAGTTTCATTTCATTCTGATGAAGTTAATGTAAACTTTGATATACTCTCGAAAGAAGTATTCAAATTCAATACAAAAAAAAACAAGATTTCTTATTTACGCTTAATTAGTTTCCAATTAAAACTTTTTGCTGTAGACCATCGTTCAACACATTGTCCATTACCATTAACTAAAAACATAATATTATCTGAACAAGTTATTGACGAAAATTTTGTTCGTTCAATTGGTTTAACTTTATCAATAATAGTTAATGAATATTTATCTGGATCATATATAAATAAAAGATATTGGGTTAATACAAGATAATAACCAAGTGTTTCACACCAACATAAATCTCGAATAAAATCACCTGGATGTTGAACTTTTATTTCTAATTGATGAAGTTTTTCTTTTTCATTATATAATATTAAACGTGCACCATCACGTAATAATATATGCGAATTAGAACATGCCATAGCAAGATTATCAGTTAATAATGAATATTCATTAATTGGTTTTTGTTTAAAAATTTCTTCATAATTAATATATTCATCATCATCATCATCATCATCATTATTATTATTATCATCTTCATCAGAAAATATATTTTGATTATTTAATTTTGGTTGAATGAAATAGTCAAGTAAATGACGTGTTAATGATAATTTTTGATTTAAGTCATCAATTTCATTTGGTATTGATATTCGATTATTATTATTATTATTATTATTTGATAATAAATTTTCATTTAATAAATTTTTTTGTTCAATTTTAAATGTTTCATATTCATGGTACGTTTGAGAACATATTAAATCAATTTGATTTTTTTTCTTTTGATATATAAATGATACATGTTCCATACGATCAGATTTCCATTCATCAATTATTGAATAAAAATGTAAACGTTGTGTTTCAAATGGTTTATTCGAAGATGATGATGATGATGATGATAAGTGATTTTTGTTATCTATTGATGAATATTTAAATAATTCAGTTTCATTTGTTAATTGTTTTATTTCAGAATTAATTGTTTTTAAATAATTAACATCACAATGTGAACAAGATGAGTGAAAACATTGTTGAATTGATGATGATGATGATGATTTATTTTCTAAACAGGAAATTTTTGGAGAATTTGTTGTTTCAACAATCATTGTTGTTTCATCTTGAAATACCATTACAAATTTTTTTCTAAGAAATTTAAGATTTATATATATATATATTTATTGATTGATTGACTATTGAATCTATTATGTATATTATATTAAATAAAAGTCAACGAATGAAAAGAGAATCCATTTTTTATAGCATTATAAATGGCTCTTATGTGTCTTTTGTGTACTGTAGATGACACTACATTATCGTTTCTTAGTTACGAACGTTAATTTATATATATTTATAGAAAAAAAGACAATCAGAGATTATGAAAACAAAAAAAATCATATGGATTTATTTGCGTTAAAATGGATATTTTTGTGAATTGTTTATGAAGTTTTATAATCTTTTCCTGGTTGCCTAAAAAAAAGACTTATTGTAGAAAAATAGTTTCTGTTTTCATGTTATGCATGTGAAATATTGCATGTTATTGAGATTTTATTTATTCAATAGAAATTTGATGCTAAGGTGCATGTACTTATGATTAGAGGTGGCGGAACGATTCAAATCTAAGAGAGGTTCAAAACATTTCAGGCAGTAACGATTGAATGAGATAAACGGGGAAAGGAGTGATTTCATACCTTCCCAACTCTAACTCACATTAAAGAGATACTAGTTGTCCCGATATGTTTTCAACAGGGTTTATTTCGCATATAGTTTGTGTATTGGCAAATCATGTAATCTTGAAATTTCGTCGAAAGATTCGCCGTTAAATTTGCGAATCATTTATAATTTATCTTTTCTGGTATTTACTCGATTCATTCAACAAACGGAATTCTTCTATATATAACAATACAGAATACAATTCAATCATATGGAAAGAAAGTATATGGTCTGAAAGAGTAGTCTTTCAACCAAGCACCTGTCTTTGCTTCAATTTCTTTCATTTGACAATAAAATGAGTACACGGACTTACAGAAAAATTTCGATAGAATAATTCGTAGATATTGCTGAGTTCTTTAAGATAACTGCGCCACAAAGACCTGTTGATTGTTCCGGAAAAGTTCTTAGAAAAGTGAAAGAAAAGATGTATGAAATATTGTTACTGTTTATTATATTGGAATTAATAAATATATCTTTAATAAATTGAACTCTTATTAGTCTACGTACAAAAATTCTAGAAATTTGAATGTTTTTAAAGAAGCATGATGTTCTCTAAACTAGTCTAATCGATTTTGATCAGGATTAAATCAACGACGTACAAGATGTTACAATTTTTTCACTCTTCTCAATCAAATTTGTTCCTCTATTTTAACGATGGATCGTCTAATTGTTCACTTTTGATTCTTTAATGGTGCTTATTAAACAGAAAACATTATGTTGATAGTATCATTTTACTCATTAAGGCTTGTTGGTACACAAAGCTTGACTTTAATAATTATTATACCACTTTTGGAACATTTATTCTACTACTATGGTGAAAAACTCCAGTGTCTCGAATATCTTTAATTTTTCTTTCTCTAAAATGATTACAATATGCCGGAAGAACATTGTTCTTTGGATGTTGTTGAAAGTTAAATGATACATCTTTAGAAGCAATTCAAGTTTTTATCCTTTTTTCATATAAAAATAAATGAAAAACAAATTATTATTTCAAATATGTTTCTTAACTCCGATATAATCTATAGCAGAAACCTTTTACACATATTTACTTTCAGCTTTGTAAAGTCCGTCAGAACAAATCAACAAGAGTTTTTGGATAACTTTGTTAGAAACCACCGAAATACATTTAAAAAAATTGAAGATTTAACTATTTGTGCGTGTAACGATATATACAAAATAAATTATGATGATAATATCTTTGAGACATTCAGTATAAACTGAGAATGAGATTCGTAAAAGTTTCTCAAATATTGAGTCTCCTCAAATATTCTTCCTCACTTTGTAAGCGAGTTCTGAACCTACCGGTTACTAATTGTTCTGCTATCTATAGCACTACTCAACATCTAGCTGAACATAATCTTGTTCAAAGAGTTTTCACTTACCAAATGTAAACCTAGAGTTAGATCTATAAAATTTTTCCAAAGATCTGAGCCTCCTCTCTAATTTTTTTTGAGGAGACTCAAACCTACCCAGACCTATGGTCTCCGCCGCATCTGCAACTCATTTATGTATATTCCACCTTGCTTAGAATAAAAAACAAAACATATTTAGTATTTTTTTTTATTTCTCTATACTTGCTTTCAACGGAAAAAAAGTAATAAGTAACATACTCTTTTTGATATATAATATACAAATAATTGCATGTATTAATTAATACTGTTACGATTCAACAGAAACGATAACATCAAAATCGATAATTCGGCAAAGAAACATTGCAAATAGTTTTGTAGTAATATAAAATATAATATTTAATATTCCATTACAAATAATTTGACATATAATATTTATAATAATATAATGTTGCACATTGTTATTGTAAAAAAATTTAATAATAATTTTAAACTGTGAGTAATTATATAGTAGCAACATAACATATGTAAATAACATTAAAATCAATATCAATATTAATAAAAAAAACATATCAACTGAAGAATTGCTCAGAAATGATATTTACCTTCAAATGATAATCGATTATTTGAGAAATATTTCTGTCTGATTTATTTCGGCAATTGGAATAAAACTTTTCTTTTTTCTTTTGCCTCCTAGTGCACTAGTTTTATTTGACTTGTTACAATTAGTTCTTGATCTATTTTCTATTTGATTATCATTACTATTACTTTTATCAACACGCTAGTACGCGATTCGATCAAACTTCGAAATATTAATAGTGATTTTTTCCATAAGTTAGAACTTGATTACTTCATGCTTTTTGTGTTAGGTAAATGGCCACTATGACAAAGCGATACATCACTTATTATCATTCAAGATATTTCTGATAATCTTTTGAATGATGTAATATAGTAGTAAAATCTAGTTAGATTTGTACACAAATCATTTGATCTAAAGAATAATAAAAACAATCAATCGATCAAATTTATATTTCTAATTTACAATCGAACTTCATATTCGGACCACTTTTTTTGACGTTAATATTGGTATAGGTGTCATATATAATGTTTTTTTATTTGTCAATTGTTCATCATCAACACATGCCATAAATTGTTGTGTAACAACAGGTGATATCAACGATCAGTATTCAATTTATCTTCTATTCAGTTCACGAAGAAATTTTGAGGATAATGACGAAAGATAGATAATTGAGAAAATGAGTTTTTTTTAACAGATATGTAGTTGATTCTTCAAGTGGGCCTTGGTGTTGATTCATAGATAATAATGCGTTAGGACTTATTAATATTTGTGAAGCATGACATCTTAATGAAGATCGAACTGTATATTGTCGATAGATCATTCTTCCATTTGAAGACATAATTTTGGACATGTTTGGTTCAGATAGAAAAGATTTATTAGTTGTTAATCGACGAGAACAACAGGGCAAACAATATGGTGTTAATACTCTATATTTTTCGAACATGAACAAATAATTATTATTTGATGATGAATAAGTGTGAATGAAATCAATTTTTGGTTGAATATCATAAAGATTAGAAGATAATTCTTTAAAATTTTTATATGACCAATGAGGCTCAATGGGATTCTTGAATTAAGAGATGAAGATCGACATGAATGAAAATAAGGATTGACACTGTATTTCATTTTCGGGTAACCGACCTTCATCTTTCAGAACACTTGAAAAACAATACGAATGAGTTCGTGAAAATGAAGAAGATGTTCAAAATAAAGCACAATCAAGGGTATCTGTCAGTAATCAACATTCGAAAAGTTTGAATATATCCATTGTCGTATTTATGAGAACATAGTAAACTTAGAAAGATTACGACTAGTTCATCTTCAACAGCTTATTTGTCATTTACGACTCATCAACTGAAGATTGGTGATATATAATAGAATTATACGGTTCTGTTTGGATTATAAGAGTATACAGTATATATCAATATTATTCAACTACGTAATAGATAATTTCATATTCTTTTGTGTATACTTTCAGATTACATCCTATTGTCTTTACAATATTAGAAAACAAATTTTAGATCAATCTATTGACCTGTTTAGTTGTGTTTCATCATACAATTATAGCATGCTGTTTTCTATTGTTTCACAAGCATCGGAGTATTCATTTTGCAAATTGTACTATTTACTCAATTTCTTGTTGTTCAATATATAATTAACAAAAAGAGTACAAATTATGTCAGATATTCTATTTGAATAGAAATTTCATGTCGAAAAATTGTTTTCGTCGTCTCCTATAGACACACCAATCATAGGTAGGCATTCTTATACTGTCTTATTCATGCATTGAAGAAGGCAAAAGTTGTTTTAATAGTATGGACTTGTAGAGAATAGTTTCACGTAGGAAAATCTTATATTTTACTCCTATGTAGATAGAGGCCAAAGTTTAGAACAACGCACTATGTTATGTTTTGTTTGATACATTCCTGTTCAGTGAGATATATATATCCACTTTTTTTTGCTAAGATTGCAACAAAATTTCTTACTGTACACGATAGCCTATCTGTCTATTATCTGATTCTCTATTCTTGAGATTATCGCAACAGAAAATGATAAGTTTTGATGCATACGTCTAATAATTAAAGGAAGAAAACTCACAAGAGATTACATAAATGCGGTACGAAATGATTTCAATTTTTGGCAATGAACTTTCAATTAACATAAGATTGAAAAACGATTTCATGTATAGTCGATTCTGTTCTGTCGAAAATTTTCATTATTGGTGATAAAAAATGGAGGCAGAATGATTATGCGACCGATTACAGAGACATTGGCTCACAAGTTTCGTCCAAATAAATCTTTTTTTTCTGAGCTTATCAAAGATTATTTCATTACTCGGTAACAAAAACTAAGAGAAAAATTCCAAGCCTACGAAGAATATGTTAGCGCAATTTCTGACATTTTTTCACTTTTCTGTTACTCAATTCTCCAGATATACAATAAGAAAGTAGTTAATATATTATCACGAGCTGTTATTGACAGAGTATCTGTT